ACTTTGTATAAAGCAAATTACTCTCCATAATATGGGTGGGCCTCATCTAACAAGTAGAGATCTAAATAGGAAAAAGAAGGCCCTCCCCAGAGGAAGGAAAGATTATGACACCAGACTGCCTCTGAATTTGAGTTTCAACATCAGCTCTTCACTGGGCCTCCAGTCGACCAGTCTACCTTTTAAATTTCGAAACCCATCCTTTACAAATGTGTGACCCAATTTCATAAAATGAATAAATCCCTAGTGGGCCTTCCTGGTGGCCTAGGTTAAGTCTCAGCACTATCCCCTTTACAGCCTGAGTTCAATCCCCAGTTAGGGAGCTAGCCTACATCTGGCACAACAGACCTCTCCTGTCTCACCCACTGCTCCCTTAGCAGTGTTTTTCAGTAGATCTGCCTGTTCTTCTGCTCCCCACTCTGTCTGGTGAATCCTCTCAGCCCCCACACCTCTGGCCTATACCTCACTTCAAAGCAAAAAAAAAAAAAGTATAAGTAATCCCAAAACTCAGTATCAGCCCTGTTCGAAACCATAGGGAGAGTACATTTGTGACCTTGAAACAGACAGATTTCTGAGAAGGACAGAAAAAACAATAAATGCTCAGGAAAAAGATTGATGATTTGAACTTCACTGAAGTTGAAACTTTGCTGATAAAGGAATTGTACAAGGAATGTCTACAAATCAATAAAATACGGGTGAAAAAAGACTTAGGTACTTCGTAAAAGGCATAAATAGACAACAAGCACAGAAAAGCTGTTCTACATCACTTTTTTTTTTAAAGATTTATTTATTTATTTATACAAGCACTGGGTACAGTCAGACGCGTGGGAGGATGAGAGAATTCACCAGAGTCAGAGTGGAGAGCAGAGCAGGCAGACTGACAAAGTACACTGCTGAGGGGAGCAGCGGGTTGCAGGAGAGGTCTTCGTGCCATGTGGGATGCTCACCCGGTGGCCGGGGATCGAACCGGTGCTGCAGAGGCTGCGGGCAGCTTTGCAACCCAGTGGTCAACCACTGCGCCACCGGGAGGCCCTGTTCTACATCACTGTTCATGAGGAAATGCAAAATGAAACCACAATGAGATACTACTTAACATTAAAACATTAAATCTTTAAGATAAGTAAATAAATAAAATGGCTAAAATTAAAAGACATAGCACCAAAAATTACAAAGAATATGGGACAACTGGAACTCTCATACTCTTCTGATGGAAGGGTAAGATGATACAACCACTCATATGTATTTACTCAAGATATATTAAAACATATGTCCACTAGGCCTCCCTTGTGGTGCAGGGGTTAAAGACACAGCACTATTAAGCTATTGCCAGCCACTGCAACATGAGTTTAATCCCTGGCCAAGGAGCTAACCCACATGGCATAGCAGACCTCGCCTGTCTCACCCGCTGCTCCCCTCAGCAGTGGATTTCGGTAGATCTGCCTGTTCTGCTCCCCACTCTGTCTCTGGTGAATTCTCTCATCCCCCACACCTCTGGCCTACACCCCAGTTCCTGTATGCATAAATAAATAAATCTTTAAAAAAAAGGCCACAAAAGACTCATATAAAAATGTTTATAGCAATTTTATTCATAGAGGTCAAAAACTATTAACAGCTCCAGTGTCCCTCCCACAAGTCTATCATGAAAGAACAGATAAGCAATTATGATATAGTCTCACAATGGAATACCACTCAGCAATGAACAAGAACTAAAGTCATGAGCAACAACATGGATGATTTTTACAAATACATGGAGTGAAAGAAGCCAGACAAGAAAGAATATATTCTGTATGATTCCATTTGTGTGAAATTCAAGAATAGGGAAAGCTAATCTATAGCTATCAGAGCAACAGTGATTGTCTATGGAGAACAGAAATTTCCTGGCACAGGACACAAAAACATTTTCTAAGTGATGGAAATGTCGTATAGTTTAAGGTCTGTGCATTTCACTGTACATTTTACCCAAATAAAAAATACCAAAAAAAAAAAGGTAATTGCTTTTCTAGGAACTTATCTTAGGAAATAGAGAAACTGGCAAAAATCTGAGCATATCAAAGTATGAACTATGGAAATAACATAAATATGCAGCTATATGGAATTAAACAAATTTTGATATATTAACACAATGAAATACTATGCAATCAATAAGAATAAAACATAGATATAGAGATACCTCATATAAAGATGTTCACAAAATAATATTGAATAAAAAGGCCATGGAATGGAAACAACCCAAATGTCCATTAACTAACAACTGGATAATAAAACATGGTATATACATACAACAAAATATTATTCAGTCCCAAAAAGAATGAAGTACATGCCACCACAAGGATCAAGCCTGGCAATATTACGTTAAGGGAAAGAAGTCAGTGACAAAAGGCCACATATTATATGATGTCATTTATATGAAAAACCCGGAATAGGCAAAGCTATAGAGACAGAAAGTAGATGAGTGGTTGTCTAAGGATGAGAAGTTGAGGGAAAATGGGAGGTGTCTACTGATGGGCTTGGGCTTCTATTGGGATAATGAAAATTTTCTAAAATTGATTGTAGTGATGGCTGTACAACTCTCTGGATAAACTAAAACCACTGAATTGTATGGTATAGAAATTATATCTTAATGTAGCTATTACAGGAAAAAAGTAAAAGGCTACACTTATACAGTATGATACCATTTTGTAAAAAGAAAAAAAAATCAATTATATATACACTTAGTAAAAAAAACCTGGATAAACCAATTCAACTGAGTCAGGTATCACCTAATACCTATATAATGCTATAAATTAATGTTACCTCAATTTTCAAAATAGTCGTCTAAAATACAATGTTCTTTTCTCTTCTGAAAGCAAAAAAAATGTTATTTCTACATGAAGAAATATCATTGATTTTTTTTTTCTATTTGCTTCCCTATCTTTTCTATAAAATTATGAATTTACTTGGGTATTAAAGCTGCCTATAGTTGACAGATAACAAGTCACATTAAGTACTTCTCCTATAAACTACTGCACTAAACTTTAATGCAAAGCCACTGGAGACTTGTTTGCTGGTTTTCTGGCTCTTGGCTGAATTCTCATTAGGAGATCTTGACAGATGGCGGTATTATAGCTACATCTCATGAGAGACAAGCTGGAGTGTCACCAAGTAGTTACCAACCAAATAAATAAGTGTCAAGTAGATAAAGCAGATGTAAATGGCAAGCCTTGCTGATTACTTAACTATAAGTCACTTAATAAACAAACCAAAATAAATGTCTGCTCTCTTTCAAGCATAAAAAATCCAAATGGGCATTAATGAGTAATGACAATTGTATATTTACAAAGGGGGATACTTACCTCTCTGTAGAACAAATCTGAATTATTGTAGACATCATAAGCCAAAAGGTTAGTCTGTGTCCCCACTAACAGAGTGTCATAGCCAAGTTCAGGGTTCAGCACTCCTGCAGTCAGGCAGCTGACTGCCTGGTTAATGTTGAGAAGCGAAACATCGGACTCCAGGGGGCTCTGCAAGACTCTGGACACACTGAAATGCTGGCTCCGTTTATGAGGATTGTGAATAAAAACCTAAAGCAAAAGCAGTTTATTACATTTCCTTAAAATACCAAAAATGTAAAATTAACCTATTTTTTTTAAAGACCCAGGTTACAACAGATGTAAACATTAAGAAGTCACTTAATCACCTTAAGGAAACTTAAAACATTTATCCACAGTTCTGTGCTAGCCTTCAATCACTATGATGGGTGGAAATTCAGTGGCTTTTGTCTTGTAAAATACAAGGTAATGGACAAGATCCAGTATTTGCTATCAGAGCAGCTCATATACTAGTTGACCAGCTAGTGGTCAAAGCAGTCTTATAAAAATGGCTTATTGCTGGTTAACCTTTAGGAAGCTTCGACCAGCTACAAGATCACTGGAAATAAAATAATAAACATGTCCGTTAGTATCTTTCACCCAAGCCCCTAATAAATTCACTTGTTAACCCTTAAAACTGTTACTTTTAAAAGTTAAAACTGTTAATTTTGAAGCCTGATAGTGAGGAAATCTGTTTCAATTAAGTTATACAAATCAAACTTCTTGAACACTGTCATAGTCTAAACTAGTAAAGATAGAATCAAATAATTAGCTCAAAGTTCATTAATTTGGCATTTTCAACTATATCACCTCAGTGTCTGCACAAACCATCCAATTTCCTTGGGCTTCATATGTGAAAACAAGGTTTAGACTAAAACATGCACTCTCAAAAAAGCAATATGGAGTGATCTTAGAGTAGTTAATGTTCCTCCAAAGGTCACAATACAAAAACAGTGTATCTGTGGTATAAAATTTCATTAGGAAAATTTTTCTTGCCTTAAAAAAAGTTTTTTAGGGGAATATAAAAACAAAAACAAAAAACAAAAACCCGGGCCTCCCCGGTGGCGCAGTGGTTGAGCGCTGGGTTGCGAAGCTGCCCACAGCCTCTGCGGCGCCGGTTCGATCCCCAGCTGCTCCCCAGCCACTGGAGGAGGGTCCCACATGGTGCGCAGACCTTTCCTGCCGCCTGCTGCTCCCCTCAGCAGTGTACTTCGGTCCTTCTGCCTGCTCTGCTCCCCGCTCTGGCTCTGGTGAATTCTCTCACCCTCCCGCGCTTCTGACTGTACCCAGTGCATGTGTAAACAAAAACAAATAAATAAATAAATAAATAAAACATGCCTCTATTAAAAAAAAAAATACTTAAAAAAAAACAAACAAAAAAAAAAAAACCAACAACGCAGGGAATGCACTGGACTGGAATCCCTTTAAGCCCCTTCTAAATCTAAAATTCAATCATTTTAAATGAGTACTTCATCCCTTTGGAATAAATCCAAACAGGACTAACTTTTAATTGTTACCTCAACAAGGAAGTCTATTCAATAAAAAATAAGTTTCAAAAGAATTGACTAGAAACATAGAAAAGGTGTGTGGTTACTGTTCATATTCTCATTTGTGTAACACTTTACAACAAGCTTTTATAAATGTTACTGAAGGTCACACTGATATGGCAGAAGGTTCAGATCTTGAGACTGGTGAGTGATAGGGCTCAGACATGATGCCCGGGGTCTGCCTCCAGACCCTGAGCTCATGCTTCCTTTTATAACAGTTCTGAACAGAAGAATTCCCACAGAGCAGTCTAGTAATTAGATATACTGAGAAAGAACAGGAAATAACTCATGAATTGTTTGTCATTGGAATGAAAGAGTTTGAAGTTTATTGTCAAGAGCAACAAAAATCCCAGGAGTCTGCCTTCTCCCTAATTCCCCACCTGTGGTTCTCTACACACAGGGAAGCTCCCAGGAGACCTACCTGTGTCTTCAGGCCAAGCTCAGTCACAAAACAAATGGACCACTTCTGGCGCCTTCAACCAAAGGACTGACTAAAGTTCACACAACTTCCTAACTGAGGGCGTGCTGCTGACAATATAAATTCAACAGGCCCCCTCAGATTCAGGCTAAGAGGAAAACATCCCCAGAGGTAAACACTAATGTTCATCTAGCAAGAAACCCCTGTTTAAAGTATTTTTGTTCATGTTCAGAGACCAGACCCCAGATAGTAAGGTCCATGTTCACAACAGAGTCCTAATAATAAAATCAAAGATGAGGGTCCGGAATGATCAAGGAGGGCTTTAAGCCTTACCTGGAAAGTTTGTTTTTCAAGGAGGACATATCTGTGTTACCTGGATCATAAAATATTATCAAAAAAATCTTTAAGCCTCAAGATAAAAGGTCAAGTCAGAACTCACAGACTTGTTTAAAGTTCTGAACACAAAGGGTCCAACTTACACAAGACTTTTTTTTTTTTTTGTCATCTTCAGAAGCAGACCTACATTCCAGAGTCCTGCCTCATTCTAGGTCACATTAGTGAAAGGGCTTCCCCTGCTTCCACTCCTACTGCCTCCCTGAGCCTGACTGCAGCACATCCTCCAAGTACCAGTCAAAATTATGCTTTATCTAAAACAAATCAAATCCCATCACCCACTTAACCAAAACCAAGGTCTTTACCATGGCTTACAAGCCTCTGTATGACCTGGTTCCTGCTACCTCACTGGCTCATTTCATTCCAGCCCCAGCAGCCTCCTTGTGTTCCTGGAATACAATCAGCATATTTCCTTCTGATTCCTCTGCTGGAAGACATTTACCACATATCTGCAGGGCTTGTGTCATCATTTCCTTCCAACTTCACAACAAATGGTATCTTAACAGAGGCCTATGTATCTAAAATAGTAATCTCCCTTTATCCCCATCCCTTTATTGGATTTTTTCCTCCTGTGAGGACAGTGTATGTGTTTCATCTCTCCCTCTCAAATGTAAACTCCAAGGGGGTTGAGACTTGTCTGCCATACCCTTGCAACTGCATAGCTAAGAACAGTGCCCAACACATAGGTAAGTCCCCAGTAAAAATTAGATGCTGAGCTAATATCAATGGGACCTTTCATCCATTTATTTTGCTGCTGTGCATCTATAGCTGAACCAGTATGAAATTCTTTTGTGCTAAGCACTTTATTCTTTAATGAAAATGAATCATGCTTTTTACCTATACATCACAATACCTATCATATGAAATAAATTTGCAGAAGTGTCTTGAAAACTATACATCCTTATATGTTAGCTTATACCACACTGAATCAGAGACATGCACTCAAATCACATTTGCACCACTTTCTAGTTGACAAGCCGCTACCATGACTTTGAACCACTACTCTAACCAGTAAAATGGGAGTAATAAAAAGCAATTATTAAAAGCTAACAATTATGTCATTTTACATGTATTATCTTATTTAATACTTGTAACAATCCCATGTGATTGATACTGTTATTAAGTGCCTTGCCTCAGGTCATGAAATGTGTAGGTAATGGAGCCAGGATCCACCACAGCCGTGTCATGCAGCTGCCCCTTGGCACTGCAGCGATGCTGAAATCATTAATAAGGCTTTGCCAGCGTTAGAAGTAACTACGCTTGGTGTCACTGGATTTCATGTATTCGGACATGCCTCCATCGGCACAGCGTCTTGATTTGCCTTGTCCCTTATCCACTTGGGCTACAACCAACTGAAAGTAGGGAATACAGCTTTAACTCTGAATTCTCAACATTCAGTACAACCAAGGTATTCAGTAAAAGTCCGGCGAATGTTGAATGACCTAGTCTTTTCCACCTCTGTGACTCCCACACCTTGCAACGTGCCTGGCACATAATAAGCACCTAGTAGGTACTTAACGAATAAATTATGGGAAAAGACATGTATGTACATGGATAAAAATCAAAAGTGCGGGTGAGTCATTTAGGAGTCGCTGTATTCGCCAACTGCTCCCCTGTAAAACTGGCCTGACAGACAAATGTGAGGTAGTGGAAGGATTTCCAGAGTACCAGGTAGAAACTCTGGGCTCGAATCTGGGGCCCGCTAATACTACTATCCCTGATCAGGCCCAACCCTCACAAGAGGACTTTTTCCCCCTAAGCTCCCTTTCCGTATGGAAACCCCAACACTGCCCAAGCGCCTGGCGCCAAATAGGACTAACTTCTCAGAAAATCCATTTTTCGTCTCTCCGCGCAGGGTGGAGCGCTGCTGGCTGAGTGACAGCCAACCGGTTGCCTGGCAACCCGAGCTTGGGGCGGGGCCGGCACAGAGGGGCGGGGTAGAAGGGGCACGGCCTGCAGAGCCGAGAGGACCCCGGGGCGGGCTCGGGGCGGGTGGGAGCGGTTACCTTGCCCGCTTGGGTGGCAGCTGCCAGGCATGGATGAATCCCATCGTAGCGCCCTACGGCCACCATACGGGGGTTGATTTTGTGGCGCAGTTTCAGGGTGAACACGGGCAGCAGCATGACGGCGGCGGCTCAGGGGGACGGCTGGCGACCCGAGACGGGCGCAGCAGAGCCGGCCTCAGCCGCCGCGGCGAGGCGCGCGGGACCCAGACCCGCCCGCCCGGCAGCCGGGCCGGGCGCGAAGGGGCGCCAGGTGAGGGTGGGCCTCGCCCCGCCGATCTTTCTGCGGCTGCGCAGAACCGCCTCGCCTCTTTGCGGCTGCGCAGAACCGCCCCGCTCCTTTGCGGCTGCGCAGAGCCGCCACCCTCTTTTGTGGCTGCGCAAATTTACCCCCTTGCTTTGGAGCCGCGAGGCCATGCTTCCCTCTAGGTGGATGTAGTGGGCAGGAATGACACAGGGCAGGTTTTCTGATCCAGCAGAACGGGTCAAGGAAGAGTCCTGGAACCCTCAGTGGCTTTGCAGGTTTTTTATTTAGATTTACCAGGCACATGGCAGGCTGGCAGGCCTCCCAGCCCCCAGCAAGTCTTCACTGTATCTGGGCTCTCAGGCATTCTCTGGTGGTCTCGGCTCTCTGCTCTTCCATTTGTTCGGCTTCTCTTCTCTTGGCTTCTGCTGGCGTCCCCGTGACGCCGCCCTTAAAAGCCCAGTCTTAGCCCAGGTGAATCCCATCTACATATGCCCACACCCTGCTCCAGGTGCCGGCCATCAGGCATGCATTCAGGACTGCAGCATTCCCTCATCTATCCAATTGGCGGGAGGGCAGAAAACCCTGATCCTTTTACCTTACCCTACGGTGGAGTTTTGTCTTTTCTTGTAACTTACCCGCAGCGAACAGGACAGCAAAGGAATGACTCTCCTATGGATTCCACACCACAACCATCTCTATTGTACACATGACCATGATCGAGCCAGTGCAACCTCAGGGGTTTAGAGAGCCTAACTGATGTGCTCCCAGCCCATTCCACACCCTGCTACTGCTGTTGGAGAAATAAGTTCTAGACTTTTACCCAGGCAGGGGAAGAACAAGCGGTACTTCAGGAATGGTGAGGTCAGGAGAAGCTTTATTACCCATGCATGAGGTCCCAGACCTGGGTAGCCCCTTAAGGTCTTGAGCACCTGGTTAAATACCAAGGGTTCGTTTTATACACAACTGTGTCCATATCTGTTATGGACAAGCGATTGATAACATCGCTTTTCGGCAGGCACAACCATTTGCAAAGTCCCAGACAAGGGGGACAAGACAAGGGGGAAAGATGCAGGGATGCCTGGTACTGTGGATGGCTTTGGAGAGAGAGACCAGCTTGGCGGGCTGCTCGACGTTGTAGATAAGAGTGCTGAGGCCCTGATCATGAATCTTGAAAGGAAGGAGCTGTAAGTAAGCAAACTTGTTGATTATGCCTGCATTGGAATGGTCATTGCACCTGGGCTGGAAGTTCTGCCAGAATCTTTATTATATTCATTTGCTCAATAATATATTTTTTAGGGTCTAATATATTTCAGACTCTTTTCTAGACCATAAAAATACATCAGTTACCAAAAGATAAAAACTCTGCTTTCCCTGGGCTGACATAGTAGTCGGCAGAGATGAGCACTAACCAAGAAAAAACCGTTGTAGGTCATTTGGTGGGAATCATTATTGAGAAAATTAAAGGAGGGAAGAGGAATAACGGGAGGGAGTACAATTCTAGATAGGTTGCAGGGAAGAGACCCCAAAGAGACGTGACCGTGGAAGGAAGCAGGGAGTGAACCTACTTTCCTCTGTTCCAGCAGAGGAAGTTCACTCTGGCTGCCCTCTGGAAATACGTATTTACTGGTGGAGGGATGAGATAAGTAGGAACTAACAGAGGACACTGAAGGAGTCATCCCATTTTGCAGATGACATAACATTACCAGAGTCACTCCCTCCCTTCACAACTCTTCATTGGTTTTTCAACCAAAGAAATTTCAGCCTCTTTGACAGATTACATGCAGAGCTCCAAATTCTGCCCACCTCTGCAGCCTCATCTTTTGCCACTTATTGCCTCAAATTCATTCCCTTCTCAGAAGCTGCCTCTAGCTTATCTGCCTTGGCTCACATTGGCCCTCTAACTAGAATGTCCTTTCCTTCACTTCCTACCTTCCTTCCATCTTTGATGACCAATGGCCATCACCCTTTCCAGAGTCAGGTCTTACAGCCTCTCTCTGATTGCTCTTAGGAGGCAGCTGCCTGTTTTCTGTGCCTTCATTGGTCCCCGGGCCATTATATACATATATATTTTTTTAAAGATATATTTTATTGGGCCTCCCTGGTGGTGCAGGGGGTTGAGTAGCAACACTATGAAGCTATCGGGAGCCACTGCAGCACAAGTTCGATCCCCGACCAGGAAGCATCCCACATGGCGCAGCAGACCTCCCCTGTAATGCCCGCTGCTCCCCTCAGCAGTGTATTTCTGTAGATCTGCCTGTTCTGCTCCCCACTCTGTCTCTGGTGAGTCCTCTCACCCCCCAATCCTCTGGCCTAGACCCCAGCTCTTATATGCATAAATTAATAAATCTTTAAAAAAATAAAAATAATGATTTATTTATATATGCATACAAGAACTGGTGTGTACACCAGATATGTGGTGGTGAGAGGATTCGCCAGAGACAGAGTGGGGAGCAGAACAGGTGGATCTACTGAAATACAATGCTGAGAGGAGTAGCAGGTAAGACAGGAGAGGTCTGCTGCACCATGTGTGTCAGCTCATTGGCCAGGAATTAAACTCATGCCACAGTGGCTTGATAGCACTGAGACTTTAACCCCTGTGCCACCAGGGAGGCCCCTGGCAATTATATTATTTGCCACATTGGTAGTATTTGAATCTTAGAATCACAGCCCTAATTAGGATCCACAGAATCCCCCAACGAGCAGAAAATTTCCCCGCCAAGCAATGATCAAGGTGGGGCACTTTCAGGCTTTTCCCCAGGAAAGCCTGGCACAAAGCTGACCTCACCCCCAATAAGATTCCAGCACATTCTTTACTTCCCATGGCCCCCAAGAAATGGATCTTCAGAGGGCACACTTGTCATCTTTACTTCAGTGAAAGAAAGGGCTTCTGAAGCCCCAACACTTGGTGGGGACCTGATGGGCTCTATTGGGCATGCAGACCTGGGTTCAAATTCCTCCCCTGTCAGTCACTCGCTGAGACCCAGGGCCAGAATTTCATCACATTTCCCGAGCCAATCACATTTCTTTGTGCCAACCACTTAACAGACAAGTTCATTTAATCCTTACAGTCACCCACTGTGGGAGATCCTGTCATCATCCTCATTTGACAAGAGAGGAAACTGAGTCAGAGAGTTTATGTAAGCCTAAGATCACACGGCTGCAAAGTGGCAGAATCAGGTTGGCAAACACAGGTTAATCTGACTCCAGAGGGGAGCTGCTACTTAATAATAGTACTTCTGAGGGATGCTGTTGTGAGAAACTAGCAATATTAACTAACAATTTCAACAAGCTAACATATATCAAGCATTTAAAGCAATGCCTGGACCTTAATAAGAGCTTCCATAAATGTTTCTTATTGTTGTCATTGTGCCTTTGACGCATTAGGATCACCAATGACACAATTTGGTGGTCAGTTTTCTTTTTAGCAGTGACATTGTTCCTGGTTCCCTCTTAGCCCTGCGTGGGCTAGCCAGTCAAGGTCTAGTAAGACAAGGTAAGAACAAGAATTTAGGGCCTCCCCGGTGGCGCAGAGGTTGAGCGCTGGGTTGCGAAGCTGCCTGCAGCCTCCGCGGCGCAGGTTCGATCCCCGGCTGCTCCCCGGCCACCAGAGGAGGGTCCCGCATGGCGTGCAGACCTCTCCTGCCGCCCGCTGCTCCCCTCAGCAGTGTATTTCGTCAGTCTGCCTGCTCTGCTCCCCGCTCTGGCTCTGGTGAATTCTCTCACCCTTCCGCGCTTCTGACTGTACCCAGTGCATGTATAAACAAAGCAAGCAAACAAACAAACAAATAAATAAAAACATGCCTCTATAAAAAAAAAAAAAAAAAAGAACAAGAATTTACATCCTGATCTATGAGGAACTGAGGCCATGCTATTTCCCCATACTGCCTCACCTTCTATATGCAAAGCACCCACTAGAGGGTGTGCAGGTGCAAAGAACCAAGGTTTGGGAGCCTCAGAAATCAGGTGAGAAGCCTGGAGGGAAGCTGGGTGAGAGGAACCCCCAGGAAAGGTCTCCAGGGGTCTCAGGGCTGACTTTTGAGGAATGGGCTGGGGGCGGGGGACTCTGGAAAAGAATTTCTGCCTTTCCTGTATGCACTGTTGTATTTGCTGTTTTTATGGCACATTTGTTTCGTAATTCAAATATACAACTTTATTTTTTTTTTTTTTTTTAAGAGAGGCATGTATTTTTATTTATTTATTTATGTATTCATTTGTTTGTTTTGTACATGCATTGGGTACAGTCAGAAGCGCGGGAGGGTGAGAGAATTCACCAGAGCCAGAGTGGGGAGCAGAGCAGGCAGAAGGACCGAAGTACACTGCTGAGGGGAGCAGCGGGCGGCAGGAGAGGTCTGCGCGCCATGTGGGACCCTCCTCCAGTGGCCGGGGAGCAGCCGGGGATCGAACCGGCGCCGCAAAGTCCGCAGGCAGCTTCGCAACCCAGCGCTCAACCGCTGCGCCACCGGGGAGGCCCTCAAATATACAACTTTAAAATCATGTAATTTGGGGGTGTGCTGCTGTGAATTTCAGAGAGCCAGATCCATAGCCTCTCCCACCCCCATTGCCCCAGAATCTGTCTATAAAGGACCGCAGTCTTAGGTTCCCTTGAATACTCTAGAGGCATGACCCTTGGAGGGGGGAACCGGAGACCGCCGGGGCAGAGCAGGCAGCCCACAGCCCTCCCAATGTCCCAGCCTCCAGTGCTTCATGGCCGACTCCCTGTTAACTCTCCTGGGTGGGTGTGGGTGACGCTGACCTAGATGGTTGTCTCTGTCAGCCCGTTCGCCCACGTGAGAATTGAAGAGGCACTTTTCTTGTATTATTGTCTCACTTAATCTTCACAATAATCCTATGAGTTAGATAACTTTTTTTAAAGATTTATTTATTTATGCATACAAGAACTGGGGTATAAGCCAGAGGTGTGGGGTGGTGTGAGAAGATTC